CCAGAAGAGTTGTAGGATGACATCAAGGACATTATACAGAATGAAATTAAAAGGTCATTTAAAAAACAGTAAAAGGAAGAAAAGACCAAAATGGATGTCAGAAGAGACTCTGAAACTTGCTCTCCAACATAGAAATGCTAAAGCAAATGGAGGCAATGAGGAGGTAAAAGAGCTGAACAGAAAATTTCAAAGGGCAACTTGAGAAGACAAAGTCAAGTATTATAATGAAATGTGCAAATACCTGAAATTAGAAAGCCAAAAGGGAAGAACATGCTCAACATGTCTCAAGCTGAAAGAACTGAAGGAAAAGAAAACCTAATCTTCAAACTGAAATCTTGAAGGATTCTATTGCATGATGCAGAAAGCATCAAAAGAAGATGAAAGGAATAGACAGTCATTGTACCAAAAAGAAATGGCCAATGTTCAACCATTTTAAGAGGTAGCATATAACAAGAGCCAGTTGTACTAAAGGAAGACGTCTAAGGTGTATTGAAGACATTGGCAAAGAACAAGACTCCAGGAATTGAATGAATACCAATTGAAATCTTTCAACAAACTGATGCAGCACTCACTCATCTATGTCAAGAAATTTGGAAGATAGCTACCTGACCTACTGATTGGAAGAGATCCATATTTGTACCCCTTCCAAAGATAGGTAACCCAATGTAATGCAAAAATCATCAGACAACATCATTAATGTCACAAAGCAAGTACAATTTTGCTAAAGACAATTCTTCCCACATGAGAATCAATGTGCAGTGTCTGCTGAAACCAAGAAGTAACCGTGACAGCGTATGACAGTCGCAATCAAATAAGTACATTATGTACCTTCTTTTTCTCTCTCCCCAGCTGTAAGTCTTGATGGGTCAGTCACAAAAGTTAATAGAAAATGTACAAAATTCTCATAGAAGATGCACTTGACTCCAATGTAGGCTTTCTGAGTTAAAGAACACTAACATCAGGGGATGGGATAAAATTTAACTTTAAATGAAATCCAGGCTTTATTATATTACATCGAGCAACTAAATTTAAGGGTATCCCTAAAATTAAGGAGCTCTGGTAATGTAGTGGATTATGAGCCAGGCTGCTAACTGCAAGGTCAGTAGTTTGAATCTACCAATTACTGTTGGGGGAAAAATAAGGCTTTCTGGTCCTGAAAAAATGTACAGTCTTAGAAATCCTTTACAGGGTCACTGTGAATCTGAACTGACTCAAAGTCACAAAACAACACAACATAAACTAAAAAAGACACAACACAAACCAACACTCTAAGATTCCATCCAAAAAGTTAGAAAGCATTACCCCTGCATATTAAATTTAATGGGATAATCAGGACAAAATAAATTTAATAGTGTGTGTGATATACAGTCCTAATCTTTCAAGAATTGGTTATTATTGTAATACATATGTCATAAAGGAGGGAAATACTTACAGCATCTAAAATATAGTAATATTTAAAAGATATAGTTTTAGAGAGCCTTCCTTTCCCAACATAAACCAAATATCCTTGTTATGAGAGTATATATCAGGGGTGGGGAAACGCTTTTCCCCACCAAGGGCCATTTGGATATTTACATCATTCACAGGCCTTATAAACTTAGTAACTTAAAAATTAGCCTGCTATAATGTCATGACTGGAACTGGTTGCCGTGGCAAAGGCAGGTCAAATGATTTTGTGGGCCATGAGGTTAATGGTTCAAATTCACCAGTTGCTCCTTGGAAACTGTATACATGGTTGCTATGAGTCAGAATCAACTCAACAGCACTTAGCAACAATAATACGACCTGTGATCCAGACATTCCCCACCCCTGCTATCTATATACCAGGGAATATAGTAATAAAGTACAACTGTGTATGTCACTGATACTAGCCTGTCCTTATTGGTGATGGAGCTTGCTTCTGACAAAGCCAACATAAAACCAAAGAGAGGGTGACTGGACTTTCCTATCTCCAAACTTTCTCTCCCTAAGGAATACACTTATTAAGGTACACCCATTAATTTATAATTCTGAGAAAACATGCTTTCTTGATTTCAGATGGATTGGTCACATAACTGTATACCTAAAAAAGAGGAAGATTAGATCCAGATCTAGAAATAAAATTTTCTTACTAGAAGAATATACACATAAACAAACATAAACACAGTCACCCAATTGGTTGCTACTTAGGCTATAACAGAATGTTGTTGTTATTTGCTGTTGTGAACAGGTGCTGTGGAATAAGTTCCTACTCAAAGCGACTCTATGTACAACAGAATGAAACACTCCCCAATCCTGTAAGATCCTCACAATTTGTGTTATGATTGAACCCACTGCTGCTGCCACTGGGCCAATCCATCTTGTTGGGGTGTGGGGTCTTCCTCTTTTTTGCTGACCCTCCACTTTACAAAGCATGAAATCTTTCTCCAGAGACTGGTCCCTCCTGATAACATGTCCAAAGAATGAGAGCTGAAGTCTCATCATCCTTACTTCTCAGGAGCATTCTAATTGTACTTCTTCCAATACAGATTCATTTGTTTTTCTGGAAGTCCATGGTACTTTTAATATTCTTCTCCAACACCATAACTCAAATGTATCAGTTCTTTCATGACCCCCCTTATTCATTGCCCAACATTCATATGCATATGTGGCCACGGAAAACACCAGTGCTTAAATCAAATGAAATTTAGTCCTCAAATAGATATCTTTGATCTTGAAGAATTTAAACAGGCCTTTGAAGCAGATTTGCCAAATGCAGTATGTCGTTTGAGTTCTTGACTGCTCCTTCTGTGACTGTTGAAAGTGGATCCAAGCAAAATGAAGTCTTTAAAACTTCAATCTTTTCTCTATACATCGTGATGTTATTTATTGGTCCAGTAGTGAGGTGGGTTTTTTTTCCCTTTATATTGCACTACAACACATACTGAAGGCAGTGGTCTTTGATCTTCATCAGTAAGCATTTTAAGACCTCTTCACTTTCAGCAAGCATGTTGTTAATGAGTCTTCCTCCAAATCTGACACCATATTCATTTTCATATAATCTAGCTTCTTGGATTATTTGCTCTTCATACAGATTGAATAAGTATGGTGAAAGAATACAATCCTGGCGCACACCTTTCTTGATTTTAAACCATTCTCTATCCTCTTGTTCTGTTGGAACAACTGCCTATTTGTCTATGTACAGGTTCTTCATGAGCACATTAAGTGTTCAAGAATACTTATTCTCTGCAATGTTGTCCATAGCTTGTCATGATCCATACAGTTGAAAACCAAAGCACAGGTAAACACCTTTCTGATAATCTCTGCTTTCAGCCAAGATCCATCTGACGTCAGCAATGATATCCCTTATTCCACATCCTTGTCTAAATCTGACTTGCACTTCTGGCAGTTCCCTGTCAATGTGCTGTTACAGCTGTTTTTGAATTAGTGTGGTATGCTGATCAGTGGGGTATGTTTAATTCACTGTATCTTAAACTTTGTTATTGTTAAGTCCAGTAGTGTTGGTTTTGACTCATAACCTGCATAGGATTTCCAAGGGCAGCTGATGGGTTTGAATCACTGACCTTGTGATTTGCAGTTCAGTGCAGATCCAACACCTGATGGAAGGCTTGTTGCTATTGTTAAGTTCCATGGAATTTGTTCTGACTCATAGCAACCCTATATATGACTTCTGAGGAGTGGCTGGTGGGTTTGAACTGCTGACCTTGTGGTTAGTAGTACTGTGCTTATCCAACAGCGCCACAGCAGGGAGTTTTATTGAACACAAATTGCTAAGCCCTATTCTCAGAGATTCTAGCTCTATAGCTGTAGGGTACAGCTTGAAAATTTGCTTTTCTACCAAATTCCTAGCACATACTGATAATGCTGGATGGAGTTAGGAATTTTGAGAACCACAGCAATAATAGATGCCTATTGAATGATTTTGGTTGAACCAACACATATTGTTCCTGGAACACTGTTCTCGGAAACATCTCCCATAACTGTGGTGATTTTATAAAGATATTTGAAAAGTACTCGTTTACTTGGTATAGGTCAGTGGTTTTTAAAGTCCAGTTCAGATTATTTTCTTTTTTAAAATAATTATTATTCATTACATTTTACTGTGATAAAATGAAAAAAGCGAAGGCGCTGCAGATAATTGTCACAGCACTGATCAAGAGGCTGTGTGTTAGCCATTCCTACCCTTCAGTGTCCTCAGAGTAGCCTAAAATAAAGAAAATGTTTATGTCTAAAATTATTGGCTACAAATTGGTTCGTTTTTGGTTGACTAACTTGGCACCTGTAAACATGTATTTTCAGTTATCTCTCCTTGACTTATAGTGTCTTCAGTGATCCATTTTCAGAATCCTGTTGTGGTACTATAGGTCAGTGATTCAAACTCACCAGCCACTCCTTGGAAACCCTAAACAGGTTTGCTATGGGTCAGAACCAACTTGAAGGCCCTTAACAAAAAAAGCAATCCATGTTCATGCTTGTGTAATTGTTTTGATATTTTTTGTCTGCTCTCCTCTCTGATTCACCACTTTGAAGAGTATTTTTGTGTGATTTTTATGCCTCTGCTATCATTTTAGTGATTTTATAGTTAAAACATATGTAAAGTCCCCAAAAGCATATTTAATATTATTTTAAAGCTATAAATGAAATTAATTAATTGATGCTATTATACATGTAAGCCACCTTCAGGTTTAGGAACCTCAATTTAGATTGGGCATAACCTTAAACAAAGAGCATGAGCAAGCCAAACAAGAGACGAAGAGAATTGTGTATCTAGAGACATAGGAGGAAGATGAGGGGAGTATGCTTCATTACCAGATACTCTGATTATTTTCAACAGCATTGAGAAGAACACTTTATTATCCCCACTTTACATGTAAAAATACTATGACTCCATAATGTCAAACAAATCATGTTAGAACACACATTTATGCACATAAATATAACTGGTTACTCTTTGAATTTTTAAAAAACTGATCATGTTTTGTATTATCACATACATGTATGTACATTTAAAAATAATCTAATTATAAGCTTTTAGGGAAAAAAATAGACTTTCCAATCATTTTCCTAATAGCCACCTGGACGTCTTTGTTTCTGAGGCTGTATACCATGGGGTTCAACAGTGGGGTGATGATAGTATAGGTTACTGTCACCAGCCTATCTTTGCCTGATGTATATTTGGCTGAGGGCCGTAGGTAGACAGAGGAAGCACAGCCATAGTGGACAATAACCACAGTGAGATGTGAGGCACAAGTGGAGAAAGCTTTTCTCTTGCCTTCAGTTGATGGGATTCTCAGGATGGTGTGAACAATGAAGCCGTAGGAGATGCAGATGAAGATCAAGGGTACAAGAAGTACCAGGGCCCCACCGATGAAGATGATCAGTTCATTTATGTGGGTTTCAGCACAGGCAAGACGTATGACAGGGGAAATATCACAAAAGTAGTGGTTGACTTTATTGGAGCCACAGAAAGGGAGGCTAAACACCAATGTTGTTCCTGCCAGAGATGTCAGGAAGCCACTGATAGTAGAAGTTACTGCCAGTTGTCCACATGCTCTCCAACTCATGAGAATGGGATAATGCAAAGGCTGGCAGATGGCGGCATAGCGGTCATAACCCATCACTCCCAGAAGCAGGCAATTGGTGACAGCAAAACCAAGGAAGAAGAACATCTGGGTGGCACAACTCAGGAAGGAGAGTGTCCTGAGTACAGAGAGCAAGTTGATAAGCATCTTGGGCAGGATAACGATTGTGTAGAAGGTCTCAGAGATAGAAAGGACACACAAAAAAAAGTACATGGGAGTATGCAGGTTGCAATCTAGGTGGATGACAGAGATGATGGTGATGTTTCCACTCAAGATGATCAAATAGAGGGAGACGAAAACCACAAAAAGGACAAGCTGCAGTTCCCCAAGGCTGGAGAAGCCCAGCAATAGGAACTCGGTGACGAAGGAGGAGTTGGCCATGGAGAGTTGATCCCAGCAAATGAAGTTAGTCTGTTCAGGTGCAAATACCTTAGGAACTGGAACACCAGGAAGAATTACTCCTGAAATAGAGAGTTTCAATTTAGTTTTAATGAGGAAAAAAAAAAAAAGCATGGGGCGGGAGGGACTGTAAATAAATAAATAAATCATTCTAAATGTATGTATCATTTTTCTGCTAATTATTTTAGCTATGAATAATGTGATGAGTGTTCACTTAAAGTGTACAGACATTAACTAACATAAGGCCCATCTTTCAGTCTTTGCTCAGTTTTTAATAGGTTAATTCCTAAAATACTATTTATCTATATTGTTATTTAAAGTGATTATGCTTTTACTTAATAAAAAACCAATGTCTGAGGACCTACCTCCACCTTCTTTTAATATTAAGGCATTGCTAGTAAGACACCAGTTCATACATGCACAGGATTATTCCAAACAAAACTTGTTTAAACACGTCTCTGAGATCAATGGATGACTGAAAACAAGTTCCTTCAGCAATACACTTGTCTTACTCTCATTCACATGCCTTCTAAAACAATGGCCCAATCAGAGTTTAGTTTCAGAATGTACAGGGGAAGGTAGAATCCCCAATGAATAGTATTCATCTTATCTAGTCAGGTCTGGTGAAAAGAGATGGGGATAAGATTCTTAAGATTCAATAGCGAGAAATTTTTATCATGACTAATTGCTACTGTAACAACTGTAAAGGTAGAAGTTTTGTAACAAAAAGAGGGGAGTTACAGTCCAGGAACAGAGGACCCTTGGACCATCAAGGGAGAAGAATATGAGCAGAATGTGGGACCCTATCCAGAGAAGCAGCAACACCAGAGATGGAGATAGAGATGAGGGCATGGAGAAAAAAATAGAGCAGCTGAGGACTCTAGACTAATGGAATGAGAAAGGATATGTGCTGGCAGCCAGGTGCTGGTTGCCAGGAGGAAGTCTTTCAGAATGTGCCCTTTGGTTGTTTAAATATTTATATATTCCTGGATGTTTTTGTGTACATCCCCCCCTCAAAACAACAACAACATACACACACAAAAAAAACTGAGGGAATAGAAAAAAATACTGTTGAATGATGATGCACGGAGGAGACTATTGGAATGAAATGTTGAGTGTAAAAACAATGTTCTCCCATGTAAACGATCACTCAATTCACAATAAAAACCTAAAAAGAAAAACAGCCCAATCAAAACAGTTTTTCCCCCCAGGAATCTACTGAGTCAATGAAATTTAAGGTAGAGATGTCAACTCAGAAATTTATGGTGAATTATTTTTCAATTCTAGAGAATTAATCTTGAGAGAAGTTCTCAGAGTACACAAGACAATCATAGAGACTTATATCACAAAGACGTTTAAGAAAATTGAAAACTGATTTTGTGGGAAAAAAGGTCAGGAAAATTGTATTGAGAATTTCCACCCCCCATCACGATACAGCAGCTGCTCATTCTTCAAGAGTAGCTAGGACTGTGCTATGAGAATTTCATTGGGACGCCTTACTCCTTTCACCTTAAAGCCATGATCTATCCCTTCAGATATCTTTTGGTTCCCAAAATCTCAAAGAACATTTAATAGAACATGATTTAAGTCCCTTTAGGATGCTAAAATAGTCATTTTGATGTGGTGTAAATCTAACAGTGTAGAAAGGGAAAGGGCTAGAGAGATGGTAGCATTGCCTTCAGAAGGGTATAGACATATGGAGGATAGGTCAAGAAACATTAGTGTCTCATTTTGATTTTCATTTAACGAAAGTTTTTATGATTTTTTAGCAATATTTTTTTATTTACTCACATACATCCCTGTCTGGATAAATATCAATTTTTTTTCTGTCTTTATTTCACGTGTGGCGCTGTGGGCTAATACGTCAGACTGCAAAGTCAGTTGAACTACAAAGATCAGTGGTTCAAGCTCACCAGTTGCTTCTTGGAAATCTACACAGGGTTGCTATGCGTCGGAATTGACTTGAAGGCACTTTGCAACAACAACAAATAAACAATGGAGTTTCCTTTCATGAATAATAATATAATCTATTTTCCTACAGTCACTCATAACATTAATTTGGTTGGGAACTATTGTTATTTCCTTAGAACTAGCTTAGTGACCACTATACAAACTCTTATAAGATACTAGATTGGGTTTCCCCTTAAATTAAATGCATAGCAGGAATAATTTTTGCTTCAGCATTCTCTAATTGAACATTTGAACAAATATCCTACCCATGATATACCTGTCTTTGATACTGAACAGATTTTGTTCCCCAGATCTGTCTTTGAATTCCTAAGTAGATACTTGCCTAGAGAAAGATTTAACATTTCTGAATGGAAATAGAAATAGAATCAATAACATTTCTTCTTATTTCTATTTTAAATTGCTTTATCTAAAAACTTGATAAATAAGGAATGCCCAGCATGGTGTTTTACTAGGACAACCCCACTTCTTCCCATCACCCGCCCCCCTCCCCCAGCATACTTCCTGAGACATAATTTGTTTACATCTCCTCTTTACTGACTCATTTCTTTACCTCTCTGCTTTCCTGATCCTCTCTCTTATAGGACCATCCCCAGATTTAACAGTGACTTGATATGCAAAAGTAGTGTAGTTCCCTGAAAGGAAGAAAAAGCAACATTACCCAATGACTACCTCATTCCATCACTCATCTACCTTTTCAAATCATCTATGGAACCATTCTTGGGAGCTAAATCATGAAAGTAAAATTCACAATGGAAAATTTTAACTCCATTCAACACAATATAGGATGCTGTATGAAATATTTGGAAATTGAAGATGAAGTCACAAGATTAGATGTAAGGGTATTGCAGATTTATAGGAAATCTTGGGGAAATGAGTAAGGGAGAAAAAGAAAGCAAAATATAATACATGGAAATTGTGAACTGATTATCCATTTTCCTTCTCTATGACTCTTCATCATCAATAGGATACAATCAATTCTTAATATATGTGATAAGGCAACTGATGCTTCTTTCTCACCTACATCCACAACCTTATCCTCTAACTCCCATCAAAAATTTCACAGAAATACCTCAGTTCCCTAAATATACCTTTATGTTGCAAAATAAGAGAGATAGACAGATAGAAACAGACAGCAATCTTAGACTCCAATACCCTTTCTGTGACCAACTCATTCTTCACATTTTTTGAAGTCACAAATTGTTCAACTTTCTAGAAAGAGCTTGCTGCTGAACTTTCTCTACTTGTCTAGAAAGAGTTTTTGGTTCTCTTCTCAATGTTAATAAAGCTTGTTTCATGTGTTTTAATCAAAATACTCTACATGTATATCCAATTTTTTTCCTGTCTGTCTTTCCAATAGACTTGTGAATTTCAAAGGTGAAGGCCATACCTTATTCTACTTTGCATAAATAAAGGAGATATAAGCGATAACAAGTCTGTGAACTAATAATGATTCTAATTAGTTCATTTTATTAAAGCCTAGTTCCCGATTCACCACCTGAATCTCTTGTCAAAACACTTTTCCCCATATATTCTATGTACTCTGTAGAGCTTCATTTCATTTCCTTCTAAAATTATACTGTGTTCTCGCTGATGAAAAATCAGAGTTTATCCTGTGGTCTTCCATTTTTCTTGGCCTTTATATTTTCATCCACTTAGCTATCCTTTCAGTCATTTGTTTACATTTCCTATTTTTTTACTAAGTATTTAGGGATAAACAAATCACCAAGTTACAGGAAAACTGAACTTTTTTTTTTTTTTTCAAAAATTAGTATACAAACAAGATACTGAACTGCCATGCTTCTTTTCAATAAATAAATCAAAATCCCCATGTAAAAATGAAAAAATTTCCTTTCCTTCCATTCAGAGTTCTGGTGTTCAGTGGTGTGAAATGTTCAGTGGTCAGAAATGTTCTGACTCTCAGACACTTCTGTGAAGATTTTCTGGTAAGATTTGCCCAAATTATTTCCCTCGGCATGATTTTCCAGGCATTGTCTTCACTTTTCCAGGAACTTTCTGGACCAACATAAGAAAATCCTACACATTACTCAACAGAACAATTTCACCTGTGCATTTTCTCCATGGATAGTTTAGTAATTGACTCAGGAGTATCTCCAGTGATCTTTTCTTTTTACATTAGCCATGAACTTATACCTTGGTTGATAATTGAGATACTCATCTCTAAACAAACTACCATCAAGTCAATAGTGAATCATAGTGATGCTTTAGGACAAAGTAGAACTGTCCCAAAGGATTTCCTAGGCTGCAAATCTCTATGAAAACAGACTGCCACATCCTCTCTGCTGCAGAGTGGCTGATGGGTTTGAACAAATGACTTTTTTGACTAGGAACCAAACTCTCTAACCACTGTGTCATCAGAGCTCCTTTACTCACCTCCATAGGGAACCAAGTCACATTGTGCCCAAGGCTTGTCCATTATTTCCCCCAATTAGCAAGTAGAACCATGGTAATACACTATGGGAATAAGTTGGCCAAAAAGAAGGCCCTTTATAATACACCATGGAAATTAATTGCCTTCCTCTTAGATATTCTCTGGAGATTGATTAGATAAGTGAAGATTTTCTTGGAATCATTTATTTTTTTAAATATATATATATATATATATATATATATATATATATATATATATATATATATATATATATATATATCAATGACAAACACTTCCTTTGGGTTTTTCTTCCTGATATTTCTCAATTATTATGTTTGGTTAGAAAAGAAGATTTTTTTGACTTTTTTTAGACAAGAATGTTTATTAGACATTTCACATACCTATTTCTGAAAGATATAAGGGAAGAAAAAAGATATGAAGAATGGAGGAAAGAATATTTGAATTTTAGACATGTGCTAGGGGAAAAGACCCCAGATTTTTAAATGTTCTAGGTTGTGGTTGGATTCCTTGTGGTATACAGCTCTAGATTGCAAGATTGTTTTGAACAACAAGGTTGGCAGCTCAAACTTACCAGCTGTTCCTTGGAAACCAGGCTTTCAAT